TGTCATGAACCTCTGTCCATAGTTCATCAGGCACTCTGTCTATCAAATATGGTACCTTAAATCTATTTCTCACTTCCACTGTATAGTCGCTAGGGATTTGATTTAGGTTATACCTGAATGGTCTAGTGGTTTTCCCTACTTTCTTCAATTTAAGTATAAATTTGGCAATAAGGAGTTCATGATCTGAGCCACAGTCAGCTTCCAGTCTTGTTTTTGCTGACTGTATAGAGCTTCTCCATCTTTGGCCGCAAAGAATATAATCAGTCTGATTTTGGTGTGACCTTTGGTGATGTCCTTGTGTAGAGTGTTCTCTTGTGTTGTTGGAAGAGGGTGTTTGCTATGACCAGTGCATTCTCTTGGCAAGACTCCACTAGCCTTTGTCATGGTTCATTCTGTACTCCAAGGCCAAATTTGCCTGTTACTCCAGGTGTTTCTTGACTTCCTACTTTTGCATTCCAGTCCCCTATAATGAAAAGGACATCTTTTTAGGGTGTTAGTTCTAGAAGGTCTTGTAGGTCTTCATGGAACCGTTCAACTTCAGCCCCTTCAGTGTTACTGGTCGGGGCATAGACTTGGATTACTGTGATATTGAATGGTTTGCCTTGGAAATGAACAGAGGTCATTCTGTTGTTTTTGAGACTGCATCCAAGTACTGCATTTTGCACTCTTTTGTGATGGCTACTCCATTTCTTCTAAGGGATTCTTGCCCACAGTAGTAGATGTAATGGTCAGTGTTATGTGGCAGCCTGGATGGGAGCGGAGTTTGCAGGAAAATGGATACATATGTATATATCACTGAGTCCCTTCCCTTTTCACCTGAAACTATCGCAACATTGTTAATTCCTATACCCAAATACAAAATGAAACTATGAGCCATGCTGTGTGGGGCCACCTGATGAGTCATGGTGAAGAGTTCTGACAAAATGTGGTCCACTGGAGAAGGGAATGGCAAACCACTTGAGTATTCTTGCCTTGAGAACCCCATGAATAGTATTTTGTATTTGGGTGTAGCCAGTTAATAGTGTGATAGTTTCAGGTGGACAGCAAGGGACTCAGCGATACCTGTATGTGTATCCATTCTCGCCCAGACTCCCCTCCCATCAGGCTGCCCCATGACATTGTGCAGAGTACTCAGAGTACCACACAGTAGGTCCTTGTTCCTCATCCATTGTGAATATCACACTGTGCACACGTTCATCCCCAACTCCCTAACTCTCTCTTTCCCATCCCTCCCACCAGCAACCATGAGTTCCTTCTCTGAGAGTTTCTTTCTGTGTTGTAAGTTGCAGCTGTGGTTTTAGATTGTCTAGTGCATTACAGGTGTATTACAGACGCACAGTTCATCCTTGAATGGGAAACACTGGCAGAGATTCAGTGGGACAGTACCTAGGCCAGCCCTGGGGCTCTTTTTCTGTTTGGCTGCTCGATTCACCGTGCTCCTTACGTCAGGATGACGTGTGTGCTTAGTCGCTCAGTCACGTCCAACTCCTTGTGAGTCCAGGGACTGTAGCCCACCAGGCTCCTCTTGTCCATGGAATTCTCCAGGCAAGAATACTGGAGTGGGTAGCTATTCCCTTCTCCAGATCTTTCCATCCTAGGGTTTGAAACCAAGTCTCCTGAGTCGCAGGAGGATTCTCTACCGTCTGAGCCGTGAGGGAAGCCCCATTAGGAGGATGATACAGCCTTATTGTTCATGTTGCTGACGTTTTTCTTCCAAACTCTGACCCCTTAGAATACATTCGTTTTCTACCTTGTAAACCATAGAAGAAGGATTGTAGCAAACAGGACAGGCTGGGTTATGTGGTGGTAACTAACAACCCCCCAAATTTAAGTAATTGAAAGTTTATTTATTTCTGCTCAAAGCACATGTTCATTAGGGTTAGTAGGGGACTTCATGCATCACTGACCACTCGGATCCAGGCTGAGGGAGCAGTTGCCATGTTGAGTGTGACTGGCTGCTCTGCTGAGCAGAAGAGACTTCACACTGCAGTTCCAGTACTCAGGACGTGAGTTACACATGGTGGCGACGCATCGTTGTCAGTCAGATCCTCTCCCCCCAGGTTCTCCAGCCAGTCAGGTGGCTCTAGTGGTGAAGAACCTCCTTGCCAGTGCCAGAGACACAGAGGCGTGGATTGGATCCTGGGGTTGGGAGGACCCCCTGGAGAAGGGTGTGACACTCCAGTGTTCTTGCCTGGAGAATCCCATGGACAGAGGACCCTGGTGGGCTACAGTCCATGGGGTCACAACGAGTTGGACACGGCTGAAGCGACTGAGCACACAGCATGCACAAAGAGGACCTTACCACATGTCCAGAAGGCAGGAAAGAGCTGTCCTTTTTTTATGGTGTTTTGTGAATTACCACTGGCACGGATACTCTTAATTCTGTAGATTTAGCTGAAATTAGTACTTTCCTCTTTAGTGCTTTTGGAGACCTTGAGTGCCTTGGTTTAAACTAGAGAATTTCTATTTCATCTCCGAAATAGTCTATTGGGGAAAAATGGCTTCTTCTCTAAACATGCCGTCTAAACTTTCGTGTCTATTCTCCACAAAGTTTGGTAACCTTTTAAGATTGCAAATTGGATACTGTCACTTCCCCACTTACCACCTTACAATGGCTTTCGCTTGCACAAAACTAAAACTAAATTTAAGGTTATATGTGATCTGATCCTGAACTGATGCCTCTGAATCTAATCTCATTCTGCTTTGGATACGTTCTGTTCTTGCTCTTGCATGACTACCTTAAGACCATTCTGTCTTCAGCACCCAGCTGTTTCCTCATCTTCGTCATCTTCTCTTTCTCGGCATTAATTACCAGCTCAGTTGATATTAGAGTGTCTGTCCATGACTGTACTGTCTCTAGAAGTACCTTTCCTTCCCCCGTCCTCTGCACATTCTTTCTAATATTGCCATGTTTTAAGATTATTATTGTTGCTGTTCAGGTGCTAAGTCATGTCCAACTCTTTGTGACCCCATGGACTGAAGCACAGCAGGCTCCCCTGTTCTCCACTCTCTCCTGGTATTTTCTGAGATTCCTGTCCATTGAGTTGGTGATGCTATCTAACCATCTCATCCTCTGCCGCCCCCGTCTCCTTTTGCCTTCATTCTTTTCCCAGCATCAGGGTCTTTTCCAGTGAATCAAGATTATTAACAATTATTTATCTTTTTCCATCCTCTAGAATGTGTTCAGTAAGAAAGGTCCCATGAAGGCAAGGACCTTATCTGTGTTGTTTACTCTTATATCCCTAACACCTAGAATAATGCCTTGAATTTAACGTGTTCAATATGTACGTTCAAAACAAATATAGCACATCTTTTTTTGAGTCCTTGAAAGCTCTTCAGCCCAGAATGAGAGACGATTATGGTATTCAAACTTGGGGGTTTCCCTTAAGCTATTTGGACCTTAGTATTCTGAACTGCACAATCCTGGTAGTAACATCATGGATCCATAAGCTTTAAGCCTCCTTCTAGCTTTAAAAGTCTATGACCTCTAAGTATTGGGTTGGCCAAAAAATTCATTTGGATTACAGAAAAAGTTGATATTTTGTAGTATAGTATCTCTAATAAATTGTTACATAATTAAAACTTCATTTTAAATTTTGCAAGCTACTTCTCCACTGATATATAACACTTAGGATACTAAGACTTTGAAAGATGTTATTTTTAAAAACATTGTGAAATACTGTAATGTATGTGTTCCTAAATATTACTGTGCTATGCAGAATTGTGTCATAAAATGCTAAAAATGGGGTTAGGCTCACAAGACTCAAAAACCACTGTCAGTTGCACACGAAGAAAAGATAAGCTAATAAAAGCAGTGGCACAATGTTGCACATACTGAATGAAGGAGACGTGCACAAATACTACAATAAATATGATATTCTATCAATACCTTGTGAAAAAGACTTGAGGTTTGCTTGTTAAAGTGGGCTTCAGGGGGACTGCCGCTTGGAAGGTTTTTGTGAAGTAGTGCAAAGTGGGTGAACTGAATTCTGGTGGAAAGTTGTAGCACCAGAAATAGACGGGTGTGGTTCTCAGCGTGCAGTGACTGGGACAGCTGTGCATTATTTTTACCCGGCTTGGGTCACTTTTCTGAACTCAGTCCACATGGGTACAGTTTTCTATGCTCACCTAGTAAGTGTTTGTCCCAGGGGGAAATTGCATAAAAGCCAACATAAAATCCATGTCATGCCCAAATTGTTCTCTAGTGTATTCATCATGTCAGAAGAATGCTTCAAAACGAGAGTTATGGTAGACTTGACTGTAATTTTAGAGTTACAGTTGCACAAATAGTACACAGTTTCCATATTAGCTCACTTAGTTTCTGTAAATATTCACACTTTTGTAGCTGTAGTATAATGATCAAAACCAGGAAATTAACGTTGGCTCTTACTCGGATTTTCTCATTTTATTGTTGCTGTTATTCTGTCCCAGGATCTAACTCGGGATCCTGTATTTCATGTAATTGTCAGGTCCCCTTAGTCTTCTCCAGTCAAGGACAGTTCCTCATCCTTTCTTTCCTGGTCTTGGTGGACTATCCCCTGAGTTTGTATTTGTCTGACATTTCTTCATGGTTAGATTGAGATTATGAATTTGGAAAAAAAAAAAAGCCACAGAAGGGATGTTGTGTCCTCCTTAGGGCACCTCATACATAACATGTGAGACATTAATTTTTAGGATGTGTTTAATATGTCTGAGCTTTAGTTGTATCATAAAATCTGTTGTTTACACTTTACTGTCCATTTTTACTGTGTGGTTTAATGTCTTTCATCTTTGTCAGTTCTTTGACATTATTGCTTTTCTTATGAAGAAGCCATATGGAAAAGAATTATTGTGTAATAGGTATGCCCCATATCTTTGACTATTTTTCTTTCTGAAATGTAGTATATTTTGATCACCCAATTCTTTCTATCAATTTGAGAGAGTATAATTTTGAAATAGTGTGGTTTTCCTGCATTGTCTTTGTGACGTCTTTTAATATAATTATCATTTTTTTGTTTCAGTTTCAATAGTAATGGGAATTCCTACAGTGAAGAGAGAAGTTAAATCTTACCTCATAGAAACTCTTCATTCCCTTATTGATAATCTGTATCCTGAAGAGAAGTTGGACTGTGTTATAGTAGTCTTCATAGGAGAGGTAATTATTTGTTATATATATATATATTTTTTTTTACCACATTTAATCTGTAAGAATTGAGGCCATATTTTGAATATGCTCTTAAAAACTTTTTTGTATAAAATGTGATGAGTAAAGGTTAGGTGGTCTATTCCATCTGACAGTTAAATATAAATCTAACTTGTAATGTTTGCATTCACTTCCTTTCTGTATTCACAATCCAGGAATGGTAATATCTGTTGTCAGTTGGATGATATTATATATATAGGTCTTTACAAACGAGTCTCCATTTTTAGCTCCAGGACCTGAACTTGGAGATGTGCATTGATGTTTTTTGGGAGTTTTGAACCCTGAGAAAGGTTTAGCCTCGGCTGGGGTTTTCATCACTTCTGTCCTCTCTGCCTCTTCTCTGTACTCCCAAGGTGCAGCCACATTATTGTGAACCTATGGCTGATTCATGTTGATGTTTGGTAGAAGCCACCACAGTTCTGTAAAGCAATTGTCCTTCATTTAAAAACAAATAAATTTTAAAAAATCCAAAAATGAAAAGTCAAACATCATGTTAATGATAAATACTAGGTTTCTTTTATTTTAGTCTCCTCCAAAGATATGGGGAAAGAGTAAATCTTGAGCAAGTTTTTTAATGAGGAAGAAGCACCCTGAAATAAATATTTCCTTAGTTATTATATAGAATTTCAGAACATAAGAAGGTTTTATAACCTCATCTGATTCTGGCCCACTGATTCCCAACTTTTCAGTGTTTCCTGTCTCTTTTTAAATGAAAATGTTCTTGTTTATATATAAAGAATAGACACATGTATATTGTTCAAAACATTACAGAAATGTATATTGAAAAATTGCCTGTAATTCCTCCATATAGATATAACAACTGCCACTATTTTGAAATACATACATCTTGAGATATGAAATATGAAATACATATATCTTAAGAAATTTTTCCTGACTGTATACATATATATAAATGGAATTGTTCTGTGTATTTCTTAGTATCATGGACATTTTCCCAAGCTAAAACAGATAGCTATCACACCATCATTGTTATGGCTTCATAACATTCCACTGTATGGTTTTTAATATTCTTGATTTAATTTCTGATTGACAGATTTAGACTGTTTCATACCTTTGCTGTTTTCACACTGCACTGAGCATTACTGTAAATAAACGGTTGTGCAATTGGCTGGTACTGATGCAGGATCAATCCCTAACTGTGGAGTTCTGGGTGAAGTCCGCATACATAAATGTTCACACTTGGGCGAGATGCCCTGCAGAAGCTGAGCTGCTCGTGTCCCTTTTCAGCAGTTTGGGGGAGAGCTTGGTACCCTGTCCCCCAGTTCTGTGAGATAACATTATTATTCTTTAAGTTTATTTTGGCTAGTTTGATGGGTAATGATATACATTGCTTTTGTTTCATTTGTCTATTTGGATTTGTCTATTGGATTAAATAGTTTATATATATTTGGGCCATTTGTATTTATAATATTATTATTTTTTAACTTATTTATTTTAGTTGAAGGCTAATTAATTTACAATATTGTGGTGGTTTTTGCCGTACACTGACATGAATCAGCCACGGGTGTACATGTGTCCCCTGTCCTGAACGCCCCCCACCTCCTTCCCCATCCCATCCCTCAGGGCCATCCCAGTGCACCGGCTTTGAGTGCCCTGTTTCATGCATCAAACTTGGGTTGGTCATCTATTTCACATATGGTAATTTACCTTTCAGTGCTGTTCTTTCAGATCATCTCACACAGAACCCAAAAGTCTGTTCTGTACATCTGTGTCTCTTTTGCTGTCTTGTATATAGAGTCACCGTTACCATCTTTCTAAATTCCATATGCATGCGTTACTATACCGTATTGGTGCTTTTCTTTCTGACTTTCTTACTGTCTATAATAGGCTCCAGTTTCATCCACCTCATTAGAACTGGCTCAAATGCGTTCTTTTTTATAGCTGAGTAATATTCTATTGTGTATGTCTACCACAACTCTCTTATCCATTTGTCTACCAATGGACATCTAGGTTGCTTCCATGTCCTGGCTATTGTAAACAGTGCTGCAATGAAAATTGGGGTACACGTGTCTCTTTCATTTCTGATTTCCTCAGTGTGTATGCCCAGCAGTGCGATTGCTGGGTTGCATTCTTTTTTTTTTTTTTTTCATTTATTTTTATTAGTTGGAGGCTAATTACTTTACATCATTGCAGTGGTTTTTGTCATACATTGAGATGAATTAGCCATGGATTTACATGTATTCCCCATCCCGGTCCCGCCTCCCACCTCCCTCTCCACCTGATCCCTCTGGGTCTTCGCTGGGTTGCACTCTATTTCTAGTTTTTTAAGAAATCTCCACACTGTTCTCCATAGTGGCTGTACTAGTTTGCATTCCCACCAACAGTGTAAGAGGGTTACTTTTTCTCCACACCCTCTCCAGCATTTATTGTTTGTAGACTTTTCGATAGCAGCCATTCTCACGGGTGTGAGATGGTTCCTCATTGTGGTTTTGATTTGCAGTTCTCCAATAATGAGTGATGTTGAGTAGCCTTTGCTCATTCTTTTCATTTGTAAGTTTTGATTTATAAGAAATTTTCATATAAGTGAACTCTGACTGTTTAATTAACTCTGTTGTCCAGTTTGTTTTTTGCATGAGCTTTGTTTATGATGTTTTTGTCTGTTATAGAAATTTTACATTTTAATTAATCAAATTTGTCAATCACAGATTGTATATCGGTAGAAACTGGTACAATCTCTTTAGAAAGCAGTTTGTCAATAGCTGTTAAAATGTCAGGTTTCCTCTGTGATCTAACATCCTGCTTCTAAAAATTGGTCCAGTAGAAACATTTGTGGGTGTTTAAATATATTCCAGCACATGACGCATTCGTACAGCTCTTAGTGTGCATTGGTAAAGTGAATAGAGAAAACGGTCTCGTGAAACAGACTGGAAACGATTTTTAAGATTAATTTTCATTGAAGCCTCCTTGCTTTACAGTGTTGTGTTAGTTTCTGCTGCGCAGTAAAGCGAGTCAGTTTTACACGTGTGTGTGCGTGTGTGCACACACATATGTCCCCTCTTTTTAGATTTTCTTGGACTTGAAACTGTTAGTAGCAGATATTTTAAGGATGGGGATTATGGGAAGAAGCCACTTTATATTCCATGTAGTTTTGTAAAATTAAAACTGAGGAAAATGACTATTTGTTTACTTTGACCGTGCTGGGTCTGTGTTGCCGCGTGGGAGCTTCTCGCTGCAGTAGCCTGTCTTGTGGGGCGCGTGGGCTCTGGCGCGTGCGGGCTCAGTAGCTGCGAGGCGCGGCGTAGTTGCCCCACGGCGGTGGGATCTTCCCGGACCGAGGGTCAAGTCTGTGTGCCCTGCATTGGCAGGTGGATTGTTATCCACTGTACAACCAGGGAGGACCTAAGGTTGGAACTTTTTTGCAATGAGCTTGTATTGATTTTTATCAGGGAAAGAGCCTTAAAATGTAAAAACTGTAGAATAAAAAACTATCCTTACTCATTTGAAAAGTTGTACCCAGCTTATAGACAGAGAGAAATGCTTGCTGTTGTTCAGTCACTGAGTCGTGTCCAACTCTTTGCGACCCATGGACTGCAGCACACCAGGCTTTCCTGTCCTTCACTGTCTCCCAGAATTTGCTCAAGTTCATGTTCATTGAGTTGGTAATGCCATCTCATCCTCTATCTCCCCCATCTCCTGCCTCAATCTTTCCTAGCACCAGGGTCTTTTCCACTGAGTCAGCTCTTTGCATCAGGTGACCAAAATATTGGAGCTTCAGCTTCAGAATCAGTTCTTCCAATGAATATTCAGGGTTGAGTTCCTTTAGGATTGACTGGTTTGATCTCCTTGCTGTCCAAGGGACTCTGAAAAGTCTTCTCTAGCACCGCAGTTCAAAAGCATCAATACTTTGGCACTCAGCCTTCTTTCTGGTCACCTTTCACTTCTGTACATGACTACTAGAAAAAACATAGCTTTGACTGTATGGACTTTTGTTGGCAAAATGATGTCTCTGCTTTTTAATGTGCTGTCTAGGTTTGTTATTGCTTTTGAACACTATGAAGATTCAGGACCGTCTTGCTGTAGCTGTTTCTCTGATCACTAAGATATAATAATGCTGGGTTTGGAGTCACATGACCTGTGTTCAGGGTCTGGATTCTGCCACTGGAGCAGGTAGTTTTTTGGTCAGCCTCAGTTTCTTCATCTTTAAAAGGGAAATAATGCCTTAGAGGTCAACACTGTTGCAGGGAGGTGCAATGAGATCACACTTTTGGAAGATACTATACCACCAGGAAAGTCCCAGTATAAAATTATTAATCACCACCTTTGGTTCAACATTAGTTAAGAGTTTTCACCTAAGTGTCTGGTAGCCTGGGACTCATTTAATACTATTCCCAAATGCGTGTTCTGTGGCTCTGACCATGATCTTCTTGTAGGATGGCTCCTAATCTAGATCTCTAGCTTCTTCTTGAGTCTCTACTTTCAACTGCCGACTTGATAACATCATTTGAAATATTTTATGGGCAGCTCTTAATCTGCCCATAACTAAATTAATCTGGTTTCTCCAAACTGCCTCTCTTCCAGGTTTCTGGTCTGCTTATTAAAGGTTCTTTACATCATAGTGTGGGATTCCCTTGTGGCTCAGCTGGTAATGAATCCACCTGCAGTGTGGGAGACCTGGGTTCGATCCCTGGGTTGGGAAGATCCCCTGGAGAGGGGAAAGGCTCCCCACTCCAGTATTCTGGCCTGGAGAATTCCATGGACTGTATAATCCATGGGGTCACAGAGAGTCGGACACGACCGAGCAACCTTCACTTGGCACCATGGTGTTAGTAGGTCTCGGCTGTAGTCATTCTGACGTCAGTTTATTACACAGACCTTGCGTGTCCTTGGTTGCCTTTGTGATACTCCTCACCCTAAACGTTGCTTCTTCCTTTTTCTTTCTCATTCCTTCTTCAGCTCCCAGCTCATCCCTTTTATGAAACTGTCCCCTACTC